CGGCCCGGCCACTCCCTCTCCCGCGGCTGCTCTGCTCCTCCCGTGACTCTTCGGCTCTGTTTAAGAGCCGAGCTGCCCGAAGCCCGAGCGTTTCCGGCTTCACGGTTTGCCGGGCAGCCTCCAGACCCTGCGCCCCCAGAGCCCGGGAGGGAAGTGCCTGGCTGGTGGCTCAGGGTCCAGAGGCATGGGGGCTGCCCGAAGCCGGTAGCGCTCGGGCAGCTCGGCTTTAAACAGAGCAGAAGAGTCAAGGTAGGGAGCACAGCAGCCATGGGAGGGGAAGTGCCCGGCCGGCGGTATTTTTCCCGGACATGTTTGGCTTTTTGGCAATTCCCCCCGGACAGGGGTTTGATTACCAAAAAGCCAGACATGTCCGGGAAAAACCGGACATATGGTAACCCTAAAATAACACTTCCTTATTTACTTTCTCCACACCAGTCATGATTTTATAGACCTCTATCATATCCCCCCTTAGTCGTCTCTTTTCCCAGCTGAAATGTCCCATACCCCTAATCATTTTTGTTGCCCTTTTCTGAACCTTTTCCAATTCCAATATAACACAGAGGGCCTGTTCCTTGGGAAAATATTTACCACCCAAACTCATACGGAGGAGTATTAGTCAGAATACATAAAAATAAAATAGTTGTATCAGTTCTCAGAGTAATAAAACAATAACCAACAAAACAACAAAAGACAAAATTAGTCATATATAAACTCTACCGCCCACCCAACATTTACAGCCAGTGCAAACCACCCTGCTTCCTCCCCCAACAGCTAGCATCTGCCTAGGCAAACAGTGAGTTCAGGCTCAGTCTTTGATGGATGGTGCAGCACTGAAATCAGTGGCTTGCTTAAAACACAACATCAGAATAAACAAACAACGGTGTTTTTACAAACTGCTATATTTGCACCAAGGAGATTGTCGTTGTGCCTCTCTGATCTGGATTTAAGTGTGCAGTCAGGCTGGCTTTCAATAACAAGTTTTCTGAGTTTCTGATTTCTGCTGAGGTGACATTGTCCATTGTCCTATTAATTCCAAAAGGTCTTACAATCTTCCCATGGGCAGGAATGCGGAGGGTAGAAGGGACCTTCCTGGCTGTGATGCTATTCTCCCCGCTACACTCCAAACACAACCAAAAAGCCAGAAGTATAATCAAACCCTTTGTCTTTGAGTTTTGGCTTTTGATTGGTTCTGGTAGTACCGTCCAGCTTGTTGGATCTCTGCCCTGGACTCTAGGCAGTCTGGGAAATAGGATCCTGAGCCTCTGTTGCCACTGCTGCTGCTGTAGTGTAGGGGCAAGTCTCCGACGCTCAGTGTAATATGTTAGGAACAATCAGTTCCAGAGGGGGTTACACGCTCCCTCACCTCGGAAAACTTGATGTTCCCATCAAGAATTTCAATAGACATTTAAAATGATACATAAATTAAATTTCATTAATGTACACAAATACGCTGTCCTACTAAAACCTGCGCACAACATTAATGGTGTAAGGCAGTTGCAGTTTGTCCCGCCATCCGTCTAGGAGGGAGGCCATGCCCCCTCGCTACAAGGCCTCTGGGAGAGTGCAGTTCCGAGGGGGAATTAGCACTGGGGTCTCTGCCACTCAACGGGGTAGAGCAGTAATGTCTATAAGCCCCAGCCCTCAGGCAAGGTGGGGCAGCACACAGTTGGGGGTCCTGGCTCTGGAAGACTGCCAACAAACACAGGTCTCTTGGCCTAGAGTGAGGCGCCTGCTACCCCAGGAGTTGGGTGGCAGGGGGACATGGGCCTGCTTGACAACACTGGGTCGCAGCCCAGGGCCCTAGCAATGGTGAAATGCTTC